CGCTCCTGAGTTCAATCTCTAGTACCAGGGGTTGTTGGAGGGATGTGGCTGTGATCAAATCCAGGAGGAAAAAATGAAAACTTAAGTTCAGGTCAGAGAAAAGCCAAGATGAAAACCAGGAAGGAACTGGGCTCCAGTGGTTCACACCTTATTCCTAGCTACTCAGGAGGCTGAGATCTGAGGATTACAGTTAGAAGCCAGCCTGGGCAGGAAAGTCCATGAGACTCTTATCTCCAGTTAACCAGCAAAAAGCCAGAATTGTAGCTGTGGCTCAAGTGGTAGACTGCTAGCCTTGAGCAAAAAAGTTTAAGGACAGTACCAAGTCCCTGAGTTCAAGCCCTAGTATTCTGTTCCAAAGAAAGGGGAAGGAAGGGAAGGGGAGGAGAGGGAAAGGAAAGGAGAGAGAGAACAAACAAGAGGGAACTGCTGAGCTGAGGGACTGGGCTTTAAATGAAGGTGGGAATAGAAAGACAACTTTAAAGACATACCCAAAGCTAAGCATAGTGGTGTATGCCTGTAATCCCAGGTACTTTGGAGATAGAGGTCAGAGGATCTCAAGTTTGAAGCTAGCCCTGCACAATTGGTGAGACTCTATCTCAACGACAAAGTATGTAAAACTGCAAAGACTGGGGTCTGGCTTAAGTAATAGAGCTTTGCATGAGAAGTATGTGTTTAAAGAGTGCCAGTGGCTTTTGACAATTGTTTCTATTTACAAAGTACCACGAAGAGATGGTGTGATTTCCCTTTGCCAAGCCACAGTCTAGATAGAGACCTTCACCAGCAGGGAGGGAAGAAACCTATGCGTCCTTACTCCTGTTACCTGCGAGTCCACAAGGCAGGAGGTGAGGAAGGATGTTTACTCTTGTCCAAAGGCAGAGGTTCAGCGCATGATGGAGGGCCTCTTAAAAAGGAACCTGGCATTTCATTTACTTTTCAAGGTGCTGGTTCAGCAACCTCGGAGCTTTCCATTTTGCGTAGTGAACACGTGGCCCTAATACAATCTGAATTTCTCTGGCCTGCTGTGGTGGCAAGTTTCTGGGCTCCCGCTTGATTTGTACTCTGGCGTGAGTCTCAGGAACTCAGCTCAGGCATCCGGGCTTCCCCCTGTGGGCCTTTCAGGCCCCCTAGCCATTGCCTCCTCATCTCACCCTCCAGGTCAAGTTGACGTTCATTAACACTGCCAGCAGAAGCAAGGAGGCACCTCGGGAGAAGACAGGCAGGTTTCTGTTTTGCTGCTTAGCAACTAGAGTGTCCAGCTTCAGATCTGGAATAAGGTTGGGGCACTGATTCTCATAGCTGTGACTAGGGCCCATTTCTAGAAATTACTACCTCAGGGGGCCTATCACATGGCCATTGATGAAGCCTTGCAAGTGTGATTCTGTCATGTGCCACTGGTTTAAGAATTACCTGTTTAAAAGATTCTCTCCAGCTTTCAATTCTCCAAACTGTCTTCTACAAGTAGGGAGAGTCAAGAAGGGACTGTGTGCAGGGGAAATTCAAACAGAGGTCTGGGTGCTTTAGGGATGGCTTGAGAGCAGTGTGTTTGGGCCGAGGGTGCCGAGGGTGGGAGTCAGAGAAGAGGACCTGGTTTCAGCTGTACCACTAACTAGCTGTGTGATCTACCTCTCATTGCATAGTAAATGGTACTCCTAAATACACATGTCTCTTCCCAGAGCTCAACGAGAGAGTAGTGTTGATAGGTGTGGAAGTCGTTAGAGAGTTGACAAGTACTGTCGGTGTGAGGTGGCCTCACAAGTATTATTATGTCCATCACCAGGTTCCCAGCTCTCTGTTAGCCCTTTCTGGAAACAAAGCTCAAGGCCCCTGGGCAGTGGTGGATGGGGAAGCCTGGGGCCATGCCGAGCACATCTCTGCAGATTGCATGCCTCAGTGCTGGGACCAACCCACAGGCCCCAGCAACCACAGCCTCTTCTCCTCAGTTAGGAAAGATGTGTCTGTGTGGGGAATATTAATCAGAATATTATCTCGGCCTCTGCCCCAACAATCTGTGAGAGATAGGACCTCAGCCCTAAATCCTCTGTTTACATACTCTGATGGGCTGTTGTAGACCACTGTGTTTTATCTTTCTGTTTGTTTTCTTGTTTGTAACCTGTCATTAGCAATTTAAAATACATATTATTATGATAGGTTTTATATGTGTGTAAGTATGTATGCAAAAGCAAGGAGTTTCCATAATACTTAGACCATTTGAAATATACTTCTTTTCTATGCTTTAAAAAATAAAGACCAAGAAAGAAAAATGAAATAAAGAAGAAAGGATAATAGCAGTGTGCTCAACTGATCTCATAGCTCCCTAGTGGGTCATGACCTGTAATCTAAGAAACATTGTGCTAGATTTAGGCTCTTCTGGGCTCTGTGTCATTGTGCTTCCTGAAATGCCTTTGGGGACCAGCTAGATAAAGAGAACTGTGCAGAGGATTTTCTTTTAGAGTATCTTCTTGGGATACATACGTGAATTATTGCATATTCATATTGCTTTGGAGACAGACCCCTCTACCAGTTCTCTTCCCCTTTAGTCTTGGCTTTCTCACATTCATTCTCACTGTGCAGTGTAGGAATTAACCTGCTTGTCTTCTGTCACCTTTCAGAAAACTTACAGTGTAGATAGACTCAGTGACTTAAAACTAGACTTGGGCCTCAATGGAAGGGAGTTCCCGGACCACCTGAACTCAGGCTTCTCTTTGCAGTTCCACTGTGCCAGACTTTTTGCTGAAAGAATCCAGATATCTGGACTTTGGTACAAAAACTCCCAGTTGTGGCAGTGAATTCATGTTCAAAAGAATATACAGCAATGTGGTCCAGGTCAAACTCCACAAGGCTCCAAAGTGGCCAGTTTTCTATCCGTGACTCAGAGCAGGAATAGGGGCTTTATCCCGCTAAGTTTTGCTTCTCACAAGCAAAAGGTACCCACAAACCTGTCATTTCTGAGAGAGTAGAGGGTGGGAATGCAAGAATGAACTCAAGAAAGAGCGCCCGCACAAGCACGCCACCTGAGGGCATCCTGCTGCCTTGCTTAGGGCTGCCATTTTGTTCTCTCTCTTTCCTCTAGTGGATGGTAACTAAAGTTCTTGAGTTCTCACTAAGAGGAGAGAAAAGGATAAGGGCTGTGCAGCAATTAATCAGAATATTAAACTTGCCCCATTTGGGTATCAAGTTGATAAATAACAATTTGCTCTCCTCTCCAAATAACACTATCATTCTTTCCTTCAGACAGAACCACATTGCTCAGGAAAGGAGCGACTACATGCTAGCAGGGATATATTTTGGTATACAATGAGGGCATTGGTCTGGTCTGGTCTGCCCAGACTCTTTGGTCTTGTTCTTCTCTTGCTCATTTTTATCCAGGCACTGCTGCCCATAGTGACATATTGGTTGAGTCATTTGAACAGTGGGTTTGTAGAATTACATACTGACAAGGGCAGTTAGATACAATGATCCCTGGGCATGAGAGGAAATAAGACAAAGGGCCTTCCATCATCCTCCTACCCAGACACGGCCTCAGTAGTCAATCTGCATTCATAGTCCTTGGACGTAGAACAGGCATCAGAATGGGACATCACTAAATTACATGAAAAGTATTCCATTTATAATTTCAAATGTTTAAAATTATTTTAACTGATGGACAATTAATGTATGGTTAGACTCTTGTAGGGCATAACTTACATCTTGCAGAAATCCGTGGCTGGCTCCACTGCAGCTCTTATTGGTAAAGCCATTGTCAAGGGCCTTTGAGAGCATCCTACTGCTAGGCCATATGACATTGACACCACCCTTTACCTCTGCTCATCATGGTGTTAGATTTCTGATCCAAAATCAACAACAACTGTAATAATAACTCCCTTATTGTGGGAATTTTCAGACATAAAGAAATGTAATCACTGGGCTGGGAAGGTAGCTCAGTGGTAGAGTGCTTTCCTTGCATGCATGTGGCCCTGGGTTCAATTCCTCAGCACCACATAAGCAGAAAAAGCTGGAAGTGGTGCTATGACTCAAGTGGTAGAACACTAGCCTTGAGGTGAAGAGTTGAGGGACAGTACCCAGGCCCAGAGTTCAGGCACCACAACAGATACACACACACACACACACAAAAAAAAAAGAAAAAGAAATATAAACACCATGTACCCCCAAACCCAACTTTAACCACAATCAGCAATTGCCAGTCTTATTTAGACTTTCCATCAGTATTTTTCAGAACGTCAGTAGTGACCTTAATAGATTAGAATTGCCTGGGAATTTGTTTAAAATGTATCATTCTGTACTGAGGGTGTGGTTCAGTGGTAGAGTACCCTGCCTAGCATGGGTGAGGGCCTGGGTTTAATCCTCAACATCTCAAATAGTGGTGATGATGATGGTGATGATAATGATCATGAGGATGCTGACAGTAACGGTGACATAAAAGTACATAGTCATTGTCTGCCTCTTCTTCATATCAGCTGATTCAGAAATCAATTACTGCAAGCCCAGCATCCTGGTTCTCATAGAATGTCTTAGGCTCACCCTTTACCCAGTGCTGGCCATGTGGTCTGTGGTCCTTCATGCAGATGAGACAGAAGAGCACTGGCTGAGACTGCAGCCTAACCCACATGGCCAGCGCCTCCTCTTTTGCTCCTGGGAAGCTATATGTGCTGATAACTAACAGCACAAAATAAGACCCAGAGCCTCTGCTGTAAGAAAATATTCTGCTAATGGTCCCATTCATGATATCTTCTTGAATTTCAAGTTTCGTGCTAAATCTGCACTGAAACTCAACGATTTAATTTGGGGTTACACTGATATAAGGTTGTAAGCAGGCTCTACTGTGTCTCTAGTTCAATGCATTCGTGCTGGTTATGGGGCTTGGTCCATATGGAGGGATTCAGGCAAATCAAGCCCTTGGTATGTTATAGTTTACCCCCACAGTTCTCATTCCTCAAGATCCTACCGTGATACATGACACTCATAAGTTCTCATAAACTTCACCTTCTTTTCTTTTTTTTCAGATTGGTCAAGAAAGCTCCTGAAGAGATAGAAGAGTATGTTTCCACTGATCTTAAATATCCTTTGGTGACCTTGGTCAGCTATTTCAGTCTTGGTGGTCATTCTCTTCAGCCTAGTTGAACACAGTATTAAAGAATAAGTATAAATTGGTGCTAGAATTATGCATAGTGAAGCCAGAGCTTGGGTAATGCTCCTAAACTGAAGGTCTGGACTCTAGCATTAATGTCTGTGTCATATTCTCACCATGTAGGGTTTTTTTTTGTTGTTGTTGTCATTTGACATGGGGCCTGAACTCTGGGCCTGGGCACTGTCCCTCAGCTCTTCAGCTCAAGGCTAGTGCCCTACTTCTTGAGCCACAGCATCACTTTTAGCTTTTTTCTGCTTATGTGGTGCTGAGGAATTGAACCCAGGACCTCATGCATGCTAGGCAAAGCACTCTACCACTGAGCCATCTTCCCAGCCCCACCATGTAGCTTTTAAAATGGTACATCCAGGTATTGGGGTAATGATTTGTTCTTTCTACTATAATAATACAGATTTCCAGAGCATGCCAGCTTTCTTTTTTTTTTTTTTTGGTCTGGTCGTGGGGCCTGAACTCTGGGCCTGGGCACTGTCCCTCAGCTCTTCAGCTCGAGGCTAGTGCTCTACCACTTGAGCCACAGCGCCACTTCCGGCTTTTTTCTTTTTTTTTTTTTTTTGCTTATGTGGTGCTGAGGAATCGAACCCAGGGCCTTGAGCATGCAAGGCAAGCGCTCTACCACTGAGCCACCTTCCCAGCCCCCATGCCAACTTTCTAAATCAGGCCTTTACCTAAGATTTATATCCCCCCAAAAAAGGGAAAGAAGGCTTGTAGGTACAGGTGGTAGTAAAGGCAGGGCCACCCAGTCTTCTACCTCCAGGAGCAGGAGGAGCATTTTTGTCATAGTCTGTGTGATGATTCCCCGTAGAATGGTTTGTTGAATGACAGGGCAGGTACCATGGTAAACTCATTTATCAAATTAGATTTGACCAAGAGCATAGAGGAAGAGAGGTCAAGAAACATTTTTATCTTGGGAAAAGAATGGGTACGGTAAAAACTGAGGCTCTTCTTTCTGGGTTTGAAACTCATTTTTTTCCCTCCTTTTTTCTTTTTTGGGGTCAGTCGTCGCCTCAGACAGAAGAGCCTGTACGGATCAGATGATGGAGGAGGTAAGATGCCCTAGAGTTAGTCCAGAGGTCTTCCAGAGGCCTCTGAGCCTCCTGAAGATTCCTTGAGCTACAGCTAAGGTATCATTTTCTGTAGCCCAACTCAACATTTGCAGTGGTCTCGCCATATGTCACCCTTCACACATGACTTACCCCATTTTCACTGTATATGAATGTTTAGAATCCATTATGCAGTATGAATCATATGTTATATATTGTAGAACTCATTTCTAGAATTAACTTTGCTCAGAGAATTACTTGGTTGGCTAGTGAAGGCTGCTTCTTTGAACTCAGAATGTCCAGTGGGCAGGGGCCTCCCAGAATGACTCCCTCATACTCAGCTTTGAAAATGCCTGTAAGGAAACCTGCTTGTTCCCTTAGTAGAGTCACAGGTTTGTGTTGTTTTTCAAACAAAATAAAAATGCATTGACTCATGAACCTGGGAAGACCAAGAATAGGAGAGAATGATGAAAGGGTTGACCTTGATCAAGATGCGTTGTGCTCATAACCTTACCTATGAAATTATAATCTATTTATACAACTTAATAATAAAATTTAAGGGGTGGAGAATGTGGCTTAGTGGTAGAGTGCTTGCCTAGCATGCATGAAGCCCTGGGTTTGATTCCTTAGTACCACATACGTAGAAAAGGCTAGAAGTGGTGCTGTGGCTCAAGTGATAGAGTGCTAGCCTTGAGCAAAAGCGGATCAGGGACAGTGCCCAGGCCCTGATTGAAAGCCCCAGGACTGGTAAAAAAAATAATAATAATAAAATTTAAAAAGTAAATAGAGACTCTAGGGCTTAGACACAGTGGCTTATATCTTAATTCCAGCTATTTGGGAGGTAGAGATTGGACAGATCATGGTTTGGTGATCCATGTCCAGGCAGAAAATTAGTGAAAACACCCCTACCCATCTCAACAAATAAGCCAGGTGTAGTGACACCCACCTGTGACCCATCTGTATTAGAAGCCTTAGGTAGGAGAATCCAGGTCCAAGCAGGACTTGGGCAAAAATGCAATTCTGCCTAAAAAGTAAGCTAAAAAGCAAGAAAGGCTAGAGATGGCTCAAATGATAAGGCCTTGAATTCTCATCCAGGCACCAGTGGCTCACTCCTGTAATCCTAGCTACCCAGAAAGGCCTTGAATTCTCATCCTCAATGCTACTTTAAAATAGTAGTCTCAGCCAGGCACAGTGGCTGACTCCTGTAATCCTCGCTACTCAGAATGATGAGATCTGAGGATCATAGTTAAAAGCCAGCCTAAACAGGAAAGTCCATGAAACCCTTTACCTCTAATTAGCCACCAAAAACCACAAGTAGAGATGTGACTCAAATGATAGAGCACTAACCTTGAGCACAAAAGCTCAGTGACAGCGCTCATAGTTCAAGCCCCAGTACTGGAACAAAACAATGTAGTCTGTGGAAGCAGGAGATTGAAAACAGAAACAATTTCCTGTTTCTGTTTGACCATTGCCTTTTGGTGCAGTGCAGGACTGGATGGCATAGTGACTTCCTCTTTCAGCTCTGAGCAATTGGGCTCACTTCCACCTTTTACAAGGGCTATGGCCCTTTACATCCTGGGGTCCAGTTTTGACAGAACTGAATAACTCAAAACCAGAGGAATAATAAATCCTTCTGGCCAACCAGAAAGTGTTTTTATTCCTAAAGGACAAGCTGAGTTGAGCCACTTCTAGCCAGGGGCGATCAGAGACTTAATTCTGCAAGTGTAGCAATCTGGATGATCTGAGAGCTCCGAGTTTAAGGGTAATTGCTCAATTTTCTATCCATGTCAACAGGGAAAATAGGTGAAAGTGGCTGAACACAGCCAAGCAATGAGGCTGGAAGACACGTGGGCTGTTGATGGAATTAGAAATATGCTATCTCTAGAGAGCTATCTCTCCATCACCCCTGTGTCTCTCCCATTCTCTGTTCATGTCTGTCTCCAGGTTTTCTCTCTTTCAGGCTGTTTCTCATACTTTGTTTAACCCTTCTATCCTCCATACTTATAACTGGCCAGCTCAGGTCCACTGAGCCTTTTCAGCTTTAATGAGGAGAAAGAAAAAGTGAAAGGAATTCTTTCAAAAAAAGATAAAAGAGAGCTGGGTTCTGGAGGCTCACTCTTGTAATCCTAGCTACACAGGAGGCTGAGACGTTAGAATTGCAATTTGAAGCTAGCCTGGACAGGAAAGTCTGTGAGATTCTTATCTCCAATTAAACACTAAAAAAAGCTAGAAATGGAACTGTGGCTTACTTGGTAGAGCACTAGCCTTGAGCCTTGAGCAAAAAAGCTCAGGGACAACATTCAGACCCTAAGTTCAAGATATAGGACTGGAACAAAAAAGGAAAGACAAGAAAAGATTAAAGGAGACTTAAAAAATTACTTTATTGTTGTTTTAAAGGTGGTATACAGCAGTTACCTTATATATGTCAGGTATAAGTACATTACTTCTCTTTTGCTTAGTATCATCTGTTCCTCATGCTCTCATTCCCTCCCTCCCATCTCCACCCATGAGTTGCATGGTTCACATTCATCAATGTCCAGTGCAATCATTGTGCTCTGCTGCTGCACATTTTCACTCATTTTCCACTGATTCTATGCCCTTCCCCCATGTGTATACACTGCATATGAGGTAAAGAATACATTGTCATCCAAAAAAATGATAAGACAGATTTGTTTCCTTAGCTTTAGAGTTTGTTTCAATATGTATATTATTATATGTACATAGGAAGAGGTGCTTGGGTATTGCAACTTCTTTTCCCCTAAGACTATCCTCTTTTGGTCTCACTGTGCATGGGTGTCTAGAATCCTGTATACTTGGTGATATCCCATTGTGTTTTCAATCTAACTTCCTCATATCAGGGAGAACATGCACTATTTGTCTCTCTGATCTTGGCTTACCTTGCTCAACATGATTTGTTCTAGTTTTTTCCATTTCCCTGTGAATGTCATTTTATCCTTTCTAATGACTGTGCAAATTTCCACGGTATATAAGTACCACATTTTTTGGATCCATTCATCTATTGTGAGGTATCTAGGTTGTTTCCGAATCTTGGCTACTGTGAACAGTGCAGCAATGACCATGGATGTGCAGGTGTCCTTGACGTGTCTTGGTTAAGATGCTCAGGATAGATGCCTAGGAGTGGTATGGCTGGGTGGTAGGGAAGGTCTGTGTTTAGTTATCTCCAGCCTGCTTTCCAGAGTGGTTATATTAGTTTACATTCTCACCAGCAGTGCAGTAGGGTTCCTTTGTTTCTACATCCCCACCAGCATCTGTTGTTGTTTGAATTCAGAATGTTGGCCAGTCTAACTGGGTAAGATGGTATCTCAGGGTTGTTTTGATTTGCATTTCCTTTACAACCAAGGATAATGGGGACTTGGCTGCCTTACCCCGTTTGTGCTTAGTAAGTACCTTCCATTGTCCTTGATCAAGCTTCATTCAGGAAGTGTATAAGACTTCCTGAGTAGTTCCTAAGCCTCATTCTTTGGCCTCCCTAATTTTACTTATACCTACCCTTTGTGGGTTATGAAATAATGCTCCTTAATTTGTGTAACTAAGTTCAGAGTTGTTAGGACACTAAGGCCTTCCTGCCCTTCTCTGACTCATGCACAGCAGCTTCATAGTTCATGCCCAGGGTTGTGTCAGGGCTTGGAGGATGCATACTCACTGGTCCAAGAATCAAACTGCCTTCCCCTTTGTCTGTGTCTTGTCCTATTTACAGGATTTTGGGTAGGCACTTGGAAAAAGAAGTCATTCCCGTAGGAAATGGTATTGATCATTAATGTTGGTAAGTGTTTGCTGTGAGCTAGGCACTGTGCTAACTGCTTTACCTGCAGTACTTTAGCTAATCCACACAATAATTCTGAGGAGACAGTGATTATCAACGCCTTACAGAGGTGGAAATGAAAGCTTTGTGAAGTTAAATAACTCACTGAGGTCATATGGCTAATAAGCAGTGATGTGCTGGTAAATTAACCGCTGGCTCTCCAGGGGAAAAAACAGACATGATAGGTAGTGTTTGCCAATTACTGTGGTGCAAATACTCCCACTGTGGCTGGTTTCAGGCTACCAACATGATATCACTGACCACACAGATATGGGATGTAATGGGTAGTATCGCATTGCTATATTGTATTTCCACTGTGAATTACATTAGGTGTAAATTATTGTGAGAGCATTGGTACAGTCAAATGTAGTAACATACAGGAGGTAGTGAGTTTTGAGGTAGGGTGTGTGCGTGTGTGTGTGTGTGTGTGTGTGTGTGTGTGTGTGTGTGTGTGTGTGTGTGTGTGTGTGTGTTTGCGTGCGCCAGCCCTGGGGCTTGAACTTAGGGCCTGGGCACTGTTCCTGAGGTTTTTCTGCTCAAGACTAGTACTCTACCACTTGACCCATAGCTTCACTTCTGACTTCTTGGTGGTAAACTTCTGACTTCTTGGTGGTAAATTAGAGATAAATGTCTCATGGACTTCTTGTCCCGGTTAGCTTTGAACTTTGACCCTCAGATCTCAGCCTCCTGACTAGCTAGGATTACAGGTATGAACCACTGGCCACTTGGCCAGGTTTGAGTGTTTTTTAGCTGTGTGTGTAAGTTTACATTGCTTGATGTGTATGTTTGACAGTCTGGTTTTAGTCAGTTTTTTTCCCTGACTATTACAAATCACCTGATAATGAACGGAGTTCTATAAAAACAGAGTTCTATTTTGGTTGTTAGTTGGTTGTAGCCGATTGGTATGTATTTCTAGAGGGGTGGTAAATGGCAACAGCAAAAAAGCACAAGGCAGAGCAAACTGTACCTCATGAAACAGGAAGCAAGAGGGAAAAGAAGAGACCAGTTTACACTTCCTCTTTAAAAGAATAGCCCATAATTATCTAAAGTCCTACTAGGCTCCATCTCCTAACGTTCTACCATCTCCTAGTCACACCATCCAGGGATCCAAGCCTTTAACACTTTGGCATTTCAACCTCCAAACTACAGCAAACCTGCATGCAGAATTCCCAAAAATTTA